TCACATGTAAGTATGCACAGTGTCTCTGGATTTGATTTGTTGGTAATGAAAATATCAGTTTCTGCTCCTGTCGGTAGGAATGGTCAGCCCTCCTCTATGAGACATTTTAGGTGCTTGGCTAATACCACAGGGTATTATTTGGAATGGTAATTAAAAAATCAGTTTCTTTTTAACATCCTGCTTTTTGCATCCACAACACCTGTGTAGGTGGCTGTGGCAAGCCTCTGGATGAAGAGAAATAGGGTTATTTATTGTTATTTATTCTTTTCTATGTACTGACTTTGCCAGCTGATGATGAAATCAAAGACTTCTCTGTTTTAGGACTTTAACTGGTGATTGGCTCACTTTATCACCTTTTATGACACTTTAAATTCTCTCTTTCTATCGTGTTTATTGTCATTTAAAGTGAGAATAAAATAAGTGATGAATTTGCAATGATTTGAAAAATCTTTGCATCAGGTCATTTCTCCAGCAAAGCCAGGGAACCACATTTTCCGACTGGCTGGCCCCGGTGCTGACCAGGAACCTCGAGGTCTTTTCACCATCGACATAAACAGCGGAGATGTGTCGGTCAGTCGCCCGTTGGACCGAGAGGCCATCGACTCGTACGAGGTCAGCGTTTGTCTTCTTCCCCGTTACATCCACATGCTCGCTCTGCTTCTTCATGTCCTCGCCTCTTCCTTTCCACCCACGCTGGTGCATTTTGTCTCTGAATTGCTGACATATTTCTTTCTTTGTTCATGAAGGTGCTGCTTGTTTGCTTTGATGTTCATCCTAATAGTGTATTGGATAGCTCGTTGTGGACTGGTTTATAAAGCAGCCCTTTGATTTGAAACCAGATGAGACAAACACAGGTGGTTGTATCTGAGAAAGAAAGGGTTTCACGTTTCTCTGCAGCTGGACCGATGTTATCAGAAACAGGCGATTTATTCCATGTTAAAAGAAAAGGGTAGCCTGCTTTAGGTGTCCACCGGGGTTTGTGCCTGTGGGGTTGTCTATCCAATAAAGGCATTTCCCCTGGAAGAAAGAGCAAGATAAGGTCAGAGAAATCCCGCTTTTTAAGTCTGCCAATTGACCTTATCTTGTTTTCAGAAATCAGATGTGAGTGAGGGTGTTCAGCTGGGTGCAAGCTGTTGATAAGCTAGCTGAATGTTGTAAAAACTCAGATATAAGTCACTTGGTAAACACCAACAGATGTGAGTGGTGAATGAGAACAGCGTGAACGTCTGGGAGAAAGGAAGACATTTGTCCATTTAACCAAATTTTTATTTTATTTTTATTTATTGATTTATTTTTATTGTGGTAGTGGTAAGTTGTCATTTTGTTTTGAATTGAATTTATCGCTCTGTTATCTTGTCTTTGTATTTGCATCTTTGTTTCCAGGAGGACCAACTTGTACACGAGATGATTCATCTGAAGGGGTTTTATTCTCCTTAAAAATCTGTTAATAAATAAATAAAATAAATAAATAGATAAAACTGTCCAGGAGAAGCTGGTTCAACCTTGACTCTCATCTCCTCTAAGCTGAGCAGAAGCTTCTGAAGCAACTTAAATCTGGTAGCTTGCTTGTTTTTTTGGTAGATTTTTTTTTTTCCCCATTAATATTTTTTTTGATGCTCCTCAGTGATGGCCAGGTACCCTAACTATTTACCTCATCCCTTAAAATAAATAAAATAAACTTGTTCACTTTCCGGTTTTGAAACTTACGCAGATGTTGAAGTCCTAGATTTCTAAAATTCCTTAATATTTGAAAACATTTCATGTAAAATACATTCTGGGTCCATTTTATTAGGTCTGGAGTAAATTATTGTCTAATATGAGTCGTCTGATTTATTGTTTTTGGACCATCATCCTGAGAATTATGGGTAAATGTTGCACCTTTGTCTGCGCATGTGCACACTCTTAGTTTGTGCATTCATCTCCTCGTCCTGTTTTAGGTGCTTCTGCATGATCTCTAGCTGTCCTTTCTGTTATCACGCAGCGATGGTGACTTTGTGCCCCACTCAAAGATTTCTTATCAAACTCAGCCTTCTCAGTGGTTCAGCGCCCCTCGTAGAATGAAGACGTATCACCTCTGCCCTCGACGGCTGTCCTAGACACATTCATTAAGTGTCTCCTCTGCTGTTGTAGCTGATGGCCTGCGTGGGCCAGGAGACACGAATCATTCAGAGGCTGCAGAAAACGGATATTACTCCAAGAGTAAAAGGCTAAATTAGTCAAACAGAACTTTTTAGATCTTTGTTTCCTCATTGTGATGCAGGCCTGACTGAAGGCTGTCCGTAGGATGCAGAAGTGTATATTCACCTGCTCATTTATGTATTTTGTAGGAAATACCAATGCCCGTTGATTTAATATGATTCATACACTGAGAAAACATTACAAACACTTTAGAATAAAACACTTATTATCCTGAAGACTCGGGCGACCCATCACCTGAACAGGGCAAACTGGGACACTGGGTCCATTTTAGAATATGTTTTGGGCTTGAAGGTCCTGAGCTGCAGTCTTGCAGCAAACATTTGACTTCCTCTATGTTTCATCCAAACAGCATGCTTTCCTCTACCTGCATCATAGACTTCCTACGTCTGACAGGGCAGATTTTGTGCACCAGTGAGCAGAAGACAGCGCGCAGCAGGATGGTCAGTGTTAGCTCAGAGAGGTAGCTTTAGCCGTGTTGTACATACAGAGTAATTGAGGTTCAAGTGTGGGAGACGACGTGGAAGACGAGTCGTCTTAGGTTGTTGCAACAGAGACTTTGGAGCTTCTGCTTCGTTTTCAGGCTCAGGCCGGTGAAACAGATGACTCTTAACTTTTTGTGTCTGGTTGCTTGTTTGACTTCATAAACACGAGTTCCAAGGCACAGCCTCATCGCTGAGTTAGCTTAATCAAAACTGCAAAATATTTCATTTAATATTAGAAAAAATAAAAAAGAAAGAGAAAAACATCAGCTGACTGCCTCTTATCATATAATGCATTAAACAGGGTATCCGCGGGTCCTTAAAAAGTCTTAAATTTGCTTTTCCAAATTTAAGGCCTTGAAAATCCTTAAAAATGACAAATAATCCTTAAATCCAGTTTCCAAAGGTCTTAAATTACCAAAGACCCAATAAGCAAGATTATTTTATTTCTATAAAAATTTTCGTGAATTTCTAGTTAGTGTTCAGCATTTTTTGTGTACGATGTTGGCGTAAGCGGAACCGTGCACGTTCAGTTGGTTGTGAAAGGGGGCTGTTTTTAGATGAGCACATTAGCTGGTTAAGCTAGTGGGAGCTTGCACCATGGGGAAGTGCAAGTTTAATGGTAACTGGATGGCTAATCCCACGTTCACGACGTGGTCAGCACCGGCCCCAGGCAATAGCTGGGAATTATAGCTTAAATTTAATTTTAAAAATTGCTTAAATTTGGTCAAAGTGGCCTTAAAAAGGTCTTAAAAAGTCTTAAATTTGGCTCCCTTAAACCTGCAGATACCCTGATTAAAATCATCCTGCTCTGCTGTGATGTTTGATTCATCCAGAACCTACATTTTAAATCACGCCATCCTTTCACCTGCAGCCACGTTGATCCCTGTGAAGCAGCAGGGTTCAAAGGTTATGCAGGACATGAGACTAAAATGAAGCATCAGGTGCATCAGTGGGTGAACAAACAGCAGCTCGGCATAATTAACATGAATTTGCTAAATCTGTTAATATTATTCATATTATTTTTATTATTTATAAAGAAAAAATATGTATTATTTTATAATATTATAAAACACATTTAGTCTAGTACAGGTTATTTTCCACCAGGGTTAGGGTTAGCTTAACTCTAACCAAGTTGTTTCATTTGTTAAGCCGTAAACCTGGTGAGAAGGACGGACACGCTGCGTCAGAATCAGCTGAATATGTTCTAAAGGATTCTCCGTTTTATTCTAATAATCTGTTAATAACCAAGAGTTTTGTAATTAACAGAAATGAGTCACAGATCTGGCACATGGAGACATTTATTCAGCCTTTAAAAATGTTTCACTTTGATTAAAAGCTGTCTGCTGAAACTGGCCCTCTCAGATCCAGATTTTCACTATTTCACGTCTCTAAAACTGGCTGATCAACACAAACTTCTGTATAATTGTCTGCCTCTTCCATCCATACCACCAGATTTAGGTCAGTTATGAACTCCACCTCAAGCGTCTTTCATGGAGCTATAAAATCAATGTTTGGCTATGAAGGCAACCAAGGTTGCACTGAAGATGTTTGCTGCTATTTCTTCTCCCTCAGTGTGAATGTAATGAGTCACAGCTGGGATAAAATGCTCCATTCTCTTTGAAAGGTCATTTCATATCAAAATAGCGTCACTGCTGGTTCACAGTCATGTTGACTGGTTTATTACCGAGTAATGGTTTCGCAGGTTTAATACAGAATAGGTGGTTGCAGGAACTGCGAACCATGGAGTCACGCTACAAAAAGCACCGTCTAACCTCATCATCAGCAAGGGTTCAGCTAGAAACATGGAAAGTGGGAATTCTAGGATCTTAGAGGAATCACTGATCCAAGCAAGGCAAAGAAAAAAACTCCTGACAAAAGGAAAACATTTACTGGGAAGGAGCGAACATCCCAGTGATCATCTGGGCCTCGTGCTTACAGTTAGTGTGAAAATGAATATTAATGAGATGTAAACCAGCGAGGGTGAAGGGAGGGGTGTGGGCTCGATGCTGCAGTTAGAAGGCACGCTGGTTTTGGAGAAAAGTCTGATTGGCTCTGAGGAGAGGAAGAATAACACGTGTAGAGATAAATGACCGTCTTGTTCACAACGGAGGAGGGATGACCCTCGACAGCAGAGTTCAGCACAGCGGTAACCGTAGTGAGCCGCTTGGACGTTATTGTTTATGTTTATTGACTTGGTGATGCTGAAATTTGAGCCAATGATAAACAACCTGAACTCTAGGATGCCTTTCAGAGTCAGAGGACTCCAAAGTGCTTTACCCCTTCTTTCTACTGCACGTGAAAAAGGTGTGAAACAGCTCGACGGCACTTGACCACCGTTTTACTGGATGAGTTCCTTTCCACCAGCAGCAGTGTGATGCTTTAGACGCACCCCAGAAGCAAAGGGTTTCAAGTCTATTTTATACACGCTGATGTAAACGGAACAGAAAACAAACCACAGACCTCTTCAGATGCGTGCAGCTTTCTTTCTCCTTCTCTGGAATCGACCCTACAACCTTCTGACTACTGGACAGTCCGCTCTACCTTCTGAGCGATTGCTGCCTCCTAAACCAGTACACAAACAGAATAGAGAGGCTGATTTTTTGCTGTTATTAGTATTTATCACCATAATTGCCTGAAATGATGGTTCTGTTGGATCAAACCTGATCTTTCATTTAAAATATGGGTTTTGATTTTAGGGGAACTTAAAAATCCTCATGAAACTGTCCTCTCTACTCCAGTGTGCAGTTTTAACTAAGGCTTTAATACAGTTGCTAGTACTTGTACAGCTTTAAGGTAACTTCTCAAAGGCACAGAAAAAGGATGAATGTAGCTAAGCTCATAAAATAATACACATATCCTTCTGGCCGCCACATCACGAAGCAAGAGTAGATCTAATCCAGCCATACTTTTTCTATACCCGCATGTCCACAC